CAGCCTAAATGTTTATGGAAGCCCTAGCCGGTCTTCCAAAGGCTCCAGACCTTTAGCGGCTCTAGTTTCTAGTTTTCTACAAACCCAGGAGGTGGTTGATCTGGTTCCTAATGACAAACTGCCAACAGATTAGCTTTCATGGTCATACTGTGCGTTTCTATTTTAGCAAATGTGTACCCTGATTGATGCCGTGCAGCGCTTTGTGACTTTGAACGCTGCTTTATAAATAATCCTCACCGACTTGGAGCAGAGGAAGAGAGAAGTGACATCAGAAGCTGAGCTGCCAACCTTTAACTGTCTGATGTAGAACTATGAAGCTGTAATTAGGAAGCATATAGAGGGAATTAATCACAACTTGTTTATTGTTTGGTATGAAATAATGTTTCTTTGACATTATGCCATCCTGCCTGGTGTTTAACGCTGTGAGTTAGCCACGTTAGCATGCAGTTAGGGTGATGATAAGCTGGGAAACGGTTTTACATTTCATCGGCCTTAACCTGTGCTGATTGTTTTTCCTCACCAGCCGCACACTGATGGATCACTGGAAGCTGCTGCTCTGATTTGACCTTAAACGCCTCACTGATAAACCAAAGAGGCTGAAGCTCGATCTATGCCTGATGCACGCAGGTTAACGTACAATGAGGCACACAGACACAATGTGCGCGGCTTCAGTGCGTCGTCTGCGGCTTCTGTACTCCGTGCTGCTTTTTCACTTGTACCTAATATGCTGGCCGGCTCTGGGGGCCGGTGCAGCACAAACCACAAGCTTACAACACCACACTACATGAGGAAGTAGAAAACCCAGCATCTGTAAAGGTCTGCGGAGCTCACAGCAGCAGTAAGCAGAAATGAAGCTTCAGGAATCCTCCTGGTTTTACACTTTTAAAGGTTTTTGGTTTTATTTCTGGGTGCATCAAGCCAACTCTGCATGTTTGTTACCTCAGTAAGTGATTCGTTCCTTCTAGGGCTGGGAAATTAATTGCATTTGCAATAGAATCGCAGTTTAACAAAAACACAATTTTAAATTGCAGAGACGCTGTTTTTTTTGTTTTTTTTCTTTCTTTAATCCCACTGTAATACAGAGTAAGACAGAATTTCTCCCTCCAGCGCTTTAGGTGGTGATTAAACTCATAAAGTGGGTTTGTACTCACACAGAAAGGTAGAGTTTCAGTTAGCAGCCAGTGTTGTTTCTGGCAGCCATCTTAGTTTTAGTCTCATTTTAGTCATTATGATGATGTGATAGTTTTAGGCGCCTAAACTTTAAAAGGTTTTAGTCAGTTTTATGTTGCAAAACAAAGTTAACATTTATAATTTGGAATAAAAAGCAGATTATTTCCCAGACTAACAGCTCTATCCTAGATGCTACAATAGCTGGGTATAGAATGCTGCTGTGCAGATCATCATCATTGCTGTTGGGCAGAAAACTTTGATTTATAGAATTAAGGTTTCATCTGAGGTATGAAACCTTAGATGACCTTACAGATGGTTTCATCAATAAATCCTCTTGGCTTCTTTGATGTTAAAGTTAATAAATATTTGTATCGTTTTTTCTTCTTCTCCATTATTAAACAGTTCTTCCTTTGCGATAATAATGGACCAGTATTCCCTCCATATTCCATGGTCTTTAAACGGATGATTAGTTTTCTGAAGGACTAGGATTATAATCTGGATTTTCTCTGCTTGGGTCTCATCTAGAATTCCTTTCTCCCCTCAGGGATGACCTGACGACAGAAACCTCCAGCAGCTTTGTCCTCTTCCTGCATCATCCCAGTTCCGTTGGGTAGAACATCCTCCTCCATCGCCGCCATCAGCTCCCGGTTCGTCCCCGATCGCCCTGACCTACGGTGACCATGTACTGCCTGCAGTGGCTCCTCCCCGTGCTGCTCATCCCCAAGCCGCTGAACCCGGCCCTCTGGTTCAACCACTCCATGTTCATGGGCTTCTACCTGCTCAGCTTCCTGCTGGAGAGGAAACCCTGCACCATCTGTGCCTTGGTGTTCCTGGCCGCCCTCTTCCTCATCTGCTACAGCTGCTGGGGCAACTGCTTCCTCTACCACTGCCAGGATGCCGCACTGCCGGACGCCGCCCACGACCCCGCCATCGTCGGCACCTAGGAGGAGGCGGCATGAGGAGGCGGCGGCGGTGAAGGGGATTTACTGTAGAATGACACTGCCACGCCGGAGGAACACAGAGGGCTCAGCCAACGGTTGGAGACGAAGATCAGCAAACTAGAATCAAAGGGAATCTTTACGTTTGAGCCGACAGGATGTTTTATTTGCAGCGTTTGGGTCTGTGAGGCATTAGAAAGTAGAAACTGAGCTTCAAACATTTTGTTTCTCCTGGTGTCCAAAGCTCTGCAGCCCGTCTGCGAGACGTTCTTCACGGTCCGATAAAACGCACCAAGCTTCTCCTGGACCCATCAGTGTTTCCACCTTTTCCTGCGCCTCCATTTTGTTTTGTTTTTTAAGCAGATTTTCCTCCTGCATGATTTGCTGTTTTCTTTTTTTCCAAACTGTCAGATTCAGTTTTTAACTTGAACAAAACGCTGAAACCTTCCAAAGGGTACCGACCAGCCGGCGCGGCGTCTGCTGATGCTGAAATAATGAAACCGTGCGGACTCTGCAGGCGGCCAACAAGGAGACACGGGTCGGCCATCTTTTTTTATCAACCGTAAGCAATACAGGAAGCTGGAACCACCTTTATCCCTGCAGGACGTCTGAAGATCATTTCTGTTTCCACGGTGATCCGGCGCTCCCAGTGCTGATGTTTAGCTGTCAGACTCTTTGTTCCGTGTTCCTGCTGTGGGGGGGGTGAGGAATGTGCTCAACGCCGCAAGTTTACCTTGGTTTTAATTTAAATAAAGTCTTTCTTCAGTGTTTGGATGTTGTGCTTTTTTCTTTTTAAGATCAAGCAGATCAGAGTCTGCAACCTTTGGAAGCGAAAGGAGCCATTTTATCCCAGAGTCCAGCTAATAAAACCCTTTAGACACAATGTTTAAAACAAAAAACAGATTGTTTTAATACGTTTTTGTTGAATCATTTAGCAAAGCAGGGTAACAACAAATAACAGACAAATGCTGGTGAAGATTCTCAGTCATCCAGGTCAGAGTCGTTCCAAAAAAGTTAAAATCAATCCACTGGACTTTGAAGACGTTTCTCTTCCATCCAGGAAGCTTTTTCACTTTAAAATGTCAGGAATAGCGTTGAGTTCCAGGTTTTATAGAGTGGAGCAACAGCAAAGCCTTGTAGAGGCTAAAGCCCAGCATACACTGTGATTTTTATTTCTTTTTTCAATCGTTGCACGCAGCTACAGCTCACACTGACTGAGTTCCCAGCTCACGATGTCTGTGCCATATATAGGACTAATTTTACAGCAGAATATACTAAAGTATATCTACGTCTAGTGAAGGGGAGGAACAGTGGCGGATCTAGACCAGATGTATCGAGGGGCCAGCGTGTTTTAATGGGGGCTCAGAAAAGCATGAAATAAAAAACAGGGCAAGAGATTTAAATATATTAGAGAGCTGCATGAAGGGAAATTTATTTTCAATTTGATTCAATAGAAATTCTATTTCTTATGGGGTCAATATACATTTATAATTCAGGAATTTTACATGTTTTTAACTTAATTTAAGTTACAACTACTGTTTTCTATCAGATTTGAATTAGAAGTCAAGAAAAACTTAAATTCATCTGTAAAAATTAGAGGATTTTTTTTTTATTTGTTGTGAAAATAAAACATTTAACAGATGCAAACTGGGATCCTATCTCAGTACCACTGAAGTCTTATCATCATCTTATTGTTTTTGAATAATTAGTAAAAGAATTTGTAAAGAAAAAGAATGAAATGGATCCAAAGGACCTGACAGTAACCATGTCTGATCCAGCGCAGATCATCATGAGAATTTCTGGCCCCTGTCTAGAACCGGCCATGGCGAGCTGTATGCTGAGGTTAAGCATCTCCCTGACATGAGTTTTTGGAACTTGGGATGTCTGCATCACCCTTCATTTAGATGTGGCAGAAAAAAATGTTTTACTGAAAAAAAAACAGGTCAATTTAATCTGCAACAAAAGGCTGATTCCTGTTTTAACCAAAGTTTCCTCTGAACTCCTTCAGGCTTCAGTTCTCTGGTTCAACCAGCAGAGGGCACCATTCCTGTGACAGATTGTATATTTTTTTCGTCTAAAATCTTAAATCCATGCTCTGTTTTGTTGCTAGTTGACATATTTTGATAAAACCTGAAGTCATAAACAGAACAGATCAAAGTGAGCAGAAGGTCTGCGATTAATTTCAAACTTCCTCTTTATTTCAGAACAGCTTAACAAAAAAATAAAAACTTTTTAAATCCTACATTTTGATGTTAAAATAAAGCAGCAGAACGACACTGAATTGGAGAATCCTTCTGCTTTTATTCAGTCGAACAAAACATCTGTTTTTACTCCTGTATCATAAACACAGGGACGGATTTAGGAAATGAGAAGCCAACACATAGAACAGCCCCGTTCTACAGATAGAGAAATGTTAATAGAATAGACATCCATGATCTGTTCTAGGTTGTGTCCCTCTCTTCTTGT